ACATCTGCTCATATTTTTTTTTTCCATAAAGTGGAAAGTGTCACGGCATTGCTAAATTAAAATTAGTACAAAGCAGATCAATTCTCAAAAAGCAGGGCACCTAGTAGTTCTTACTTTCTTTTTGGGTGGGGCCAGGGGCTATTGTGCCGATACCATGTGTTCTTGCTATCTGTTGTTGTCATCATTATATTCTTGCAATCTGTTGTTGTCATCATTATATGCAACACCAAATCAACTTGTGAAAACCTTTTCTGCTTTGCTGTCAGCTCGAAACTTCGAATGGGTCCGGTCCTGATGCCATGTTCCTGACTCCTGTTGTTTGTTAAGAGTTGTTAGATTAAAGTGGAGTGCTTCTTTAATAGCGACGGAGTAGATTTAAACAGTCTGCACTAAAGTTTGTGCGTATTTGTCATCTGCATGGGTTGTTGAATCACAATTTTCTACGGGATATGATTATCTGCGATCTAGTTTAGGAACACTTCAAAAATCAAATGATGCTCTGAACATCCCTTCGGTATTAGTTGTGACAGTACCTAGTTGCTTTGTTGCTATTACTTACAGAGGGAATCGTGGAGTCGCATAGATGGAACATAGTTTGCAATCTTTCTCTTGGCATCGCCAAGGGGTTGGATCACCTGCACACAGGCTTGGACAAACCGATGGTCCATGGCAACCTCAAGACAAGCAACGTTCTTCTTGACGCCAGCTACGAGTGCAAGATATCGGACTACAGCCTCTACCTCCTGCTGAACCCCGCCGCCGCCCTGGAGATGCTCGAGGCCTCGGCCGCGCAGGGGTACAAGGCACCAGAGCTGATCAAGATGCGGGACGCCACGCGGGAGAGCGACGTCTACAGCCTCGGAGTGGTTCTGCTCGAGCTGCTCGCGCAGAAGGAATCATCCGACGACGGCCGGCCGAACCCGCGGGACATCCTCCTCCCGGCCTCATTCAAGAACCTGGTCCTCGAGAGGAAGATCTCCGACGCGTTCAGCTCCGATCTCGCCAGGCACTGCAAGAGGTCCGGGAAGGAGAAGAACCTGAACGCGTTCTTCGAGCTCGCCACGGCCTGCTGCAGCCCGTCGCCGTCGTTGAGACCCAACACGAGGCAGATACTCAAGAGGCTCGAGGAGATCGCGAGATGAAATGGACGGATGTGTGAGTATTACTGAGTAGGTCTGGCAACTTTGCTACTTAATCAGCATTGCTCTCCATTGCAGCATACCGTTGATCTGGGAAGCGTCCTGCCCCGAGCTGAATGAACAACGTATTTTGTGGTGGGCGATTGGGGAATGGACACACGTTTTCACATCCAGGATTAGGAACCTGTACTGTACAGTTTCACCGAGGTGCAAAGGTGGTCATCTGAAAATATACAGGATGTGCTTTCGGTGCATGAGCATCAGTGCTAGACTGTGTTTCTTTGTGTTTTATTTATCTTGAAAGTTGGAGATGTACGTACAATCGTAGAGTACCTGCCCTGAAGATTTGTAAAAGACTGGTAGTTTAAAGGTACGTGTTGCATTTCCATACATTCAGAGAAATCTCCATGTGGTGGAATGTTCTCTTCCATACGCGTATAACAATGTAACAACACGGTATTTGTCGTCGACGTCATGATATTCCCATGCTCGCGGTGCAGCATGTGTATGCGACGCATACTGACAACCAAAGCGAGTGATTGATTGATTCACCCTCGGTGGAGTCTTTGGAACCTTTCCAGGGTTGGTGATTTGTCCTTATCACTTAACCATACTTTTTTTTTTGGCGAGGATATCACTAACCATACTTCACTCTCATCCCCTGTAATCAAGCGATGAAGAAGATCCGCTTAGCTCTCGACTTGCTTCGATGGCCTGGCGCGGTGGTATCTTGTCAAGAAATAAGCTTTAGGTGACATCCTAGATCTCCCATTCGAGGCCTCAAACCGATCGCATTTCTTTAGTTGACACTGACAGCCGCACATCCGTGGGTGTCACACCTAAGCGTAAGAGGTATGCCGACATTTCTCGTTCCCGTTCGTTTCGCCGGAAAACAAGTCGAAACACTGTTTTGGATCAATTTGTTATGAGAGAAAAACACTATTTCGGTTGAAAAAACAAGCTGAAAAGTACGGATTATAAAACATACGAACATGGCCTTTAGCTGTGCATTTCAGTGAGAACACGCCGGTTAAACCAGAAACGCATCGAGCAGCAGCTACAGGGGGGGGAAAGGAGGAAGTCTCGGTGCCGACAGTAATACTCCACCTCAGTGTCAGGATCAGGCAGGTGAAGACGTGAAGTGGTGAACTCTAGCTGGACACCGATTTTTCACCAGGTAGCGGCGGCATCCCATTCATTCACAGGACGGGACCAGACCGCCGGTCCCGCTTCTCCATCGTCCGTCCATCTCGGCGCAAACGGCAAAACCCGCACAAGGGGCGGAAGCACGTGAAGAAGCAGACCTGTCCCGGCGCTGCAAAGGCCAAAGGTCACACCACCAGCAAATGACCGGACCAAAACAACCCGCAACCGCAAAGCCGCAAAGGTAGCTTCCAAATGCCTGGTCTTGTCGGCGCGCTCCGGTCCGGCGATCGTACGCGCCGTGCTGTGGCACTCGTGATAAACCCGGGGCCCCCTTTAATTTGAGGCTGATCGTTCGGATCATCCCTCCACAGCGGGCTTGGTACTGCCCAGCGTCATGATTCATGAGCAGCAGCAGTTCCAGCGCGTAGCCAGCGTACGGGGAATATGGAGCAGAGCGGGTGCTTGTGCCACAACGAAGCAGCTGGGCTGGCTGGTTGGGCACGCCAATCACATCGCGCTCGCATGGATCGCTGCTACCGGCGCACATTTCCTTTCTCTTTGTACGCGGACGGTGCAGGTAATTAATCACGCATCTCTATCCGCCTGCGATGCGGTGCGATGCGCGCGGCAGCGAACACCGAACAAGCTGCTGCTATCATACCAGGCCACCAGGGTACCACCGCCACACGAGTCCACGACACGGACGCACAGGAGATTAGGTGGGGGTGGCCCAGGCCCATGGGTGCAGCAGACGCGGCGCGGCCACCGGTGGGGACGTGGGGTTTGTGGGGTAATGATGCGTCGCGCATGTGCGCGGGCATGTGGTAGGAATGGCTAGTAGCTAGCGCTCGCTGGACGCGACGCAAGAATAGGAGTAGGAGTAGGAGTGGCAGTGGGTGTCACACACACCGTCACCTTGCTGCTCGATTCGGTGCGCTGGCTGGCCGTGTTCATTACAGGGTGAGGGCCTGGAACGGAGGAATCGAAAACAAAGGAACTTATAAAAACAAAGGAAAGGGATAGGAATGACCGTTCGGCTGACTAGAAGCCTGTTTTTTTTTTCTCTTCAGTCGCAACGGTATTTTTCTTTCATAATATTTTAGTTAAAACAGTGTTTTTCAGCACGAACAGTGCACTTTTCATACAGCCAACGGGGCCGGTCATCGCAAAACAGAGAAATAGAAAACATAGAAATAAGATGAAAAGTAGTGTTTGGAACGCAGGAATCCATGACACAGGAATAAATGTTTTGTTCGCTTGGCTTATAAGCCGTACTTTTTCAGTCAACTAATAGTATTTTTCTCTTACAACAAATTAGTCAATAGTACTTTCAGCCATGGCCTGTCAGCCGAACTGACAAAAAACATAGGAGTAATAAACTAAAATTAGCATCTCTAATAATAGTGGATCAACTTGCTTGTATTTTATAATTAACTTGTGGCATTTAATAGCGTGCAACCGTTACATATGTGCCTCCTACCCGTGTGCATTAACTCTCTCTGTCCATTCACCAGTGCAGCTCATCCATTCATCAAAATTCCACCGACGGGCCTCTTCGCTTCATTTATCAGTCGGCTTATCTAGAATTTATAGTATTTTTCTCTTATAATAAAACAGTTTTAGTCGGCTTATTAGTTGGTTTTAATATCAACCAAACAAGCATGTATAGTATAGTTAACAAACGAGAGAGAGGCGTTGAACAGCCATAGGAAAGTTTCCAATGAGCTCAGACCTCCGCCCTGTTCGTTTGGACTTGTTTGACTTATAAGCCAAGGTTGAAAGTACTATTGACTGGTTTGGTGTGAGAGAAAAATATAGTTCGTTGACTAATAAGTCATAGCTTATAAGCCAAATACGACGAAACATGTCGCTTATTTTCTGATTCCTCCAAAAGTACAGGTATAGCTGTCGTTCCTTTGAAAAGTTTTCATTGGTTTCCTTTGTTTCAAACGATGAGAGAGAAGATAATTCCTGGAATGAGTTTCCTGTACTTCGACCGCCGTTTGCATCCTACTAGTGCTGTACTTCGACCGCCGTTTGCATCCTACTAGTCCTACACTACACATGCATGGCGGATACTGGCCAGCCGGAATTAGGGATGGAGTTGCTACGTGTGTGTGTCTAATATCTCTGCTGCAATCATGACCATCACTGCCGTGTTATCCCGTGCGTCTAGCCATTGAATGTCAGTTCTAGGGGTGATTCACTGGAACCGAACGTACTGGGTGAAATGGCCACGCTGAACGCCCGACAGGGCAGGCTGTGCGGTGGCGGGGTGGCGCGGAGAAGGAGGCCCAATAGCAACGGGGGAGGAGCTGGCGGCCCAGGATTTTGACGGCGAGTGCACGGCAACGGCAAAAGACGACCGCAGTGCAATTTGATGTAAACTCTTCACAATATATATACACAGAATATATATAGTGCATGACAATGAGTTGCTACAAACAATGCATGCGCAGTTCTTTATTTTCATTTCCTTTTTTACAAGGTATACGCACTTGGCATGCTCCTTGACGAATGGTATGGTGGACACTACTACGACATCTCATTCTACAGGCTAAGAAATTCACTGTCTACATATAGGGGTACTAAGCGTAATTACAGAGTATGCACCGTGCAATAGTTCAAGAGAAAAAAAAACATGTCCCAACTTCGGTGACGATGGTATCGTACAGTATTCTCAAAGAACTTGGAGGCTGGCCATAGCTCATCTGCTCATGGGGCCTCAGAAGGAATGCCGTGGTAACCAATAGTAGAGTGTTCTGAGCTGGAAGCAACAGCGTTGTACTGACCATAGCCAGCATAAACTCCCAAAGCGATGAGACTAAGGATGACAAATCTATACCAAGCTTCTTCATGTAGCTGCCAAACAAATTGTCATCGCCATCAGTCATGGGAATTTGGTGGTAAATATTTGTTAGCAAGGCAACACCATAAAAGGATTTTTTTTTCAGTATTGAAATCTGTGAGTGGAATCAGAATAGAACAGCGCAAACCTGAGCAAACAGGACCATGTTGAAGAAAACAGAGATAATGGGAAGCAACGGTACCCCAGGACATGAAAAGCCAGGTTGATCCACATAGACCTGGACAGGAAAGTTTTGAGAAAACAATGTATCAGCAAGTTGAGGCTGAGCTTCAGTGCGTCTAAATATTTAGTAGCATGACATCTTTATCCATGGTTTCAAACAGCAAAGCAAATAGCGTGATTTATGCAACTTGAAACAATGGATTGCACGCATACAGGATTATGAGGGTACGCAGTAAGCAGGCCAGATAGATATAAATGGAATTTACCTGACGGAAACTGGAGAGCAAAACTGGCAGCAACAGCTATCACAAAAGCTACCACCATAAAGGCTATAGCATAGTTAAAGCGATAGCAAAGTCCCACTATAAAACCACAAAGAGCAACTATGACAAGACATAGAACACCCTCTTGCCAGATTGACATACTTCCAAGGGAGCGGCGACTAGTTCCTTTGTCATTCCATCTTAGTGTGATCACACAAGCTGATACAACTGAATAACCGGTCTGCTCCCAGAAAGAAAGAAGGGGAAAAAGTAGCAGTTACATGCGACTGTTCGATGATGAGAATGAAACATTGTTGCTGAAATATTTACTGAAATTTCCATACCAGAGTGCCAACGGAAAGAATATGAGAGAGCATAGACACATTAAAGAGGCCTGCCATGACTGCTGCAACACAACCAACCCAAATCTGAGATTGTAGAGGAGTATGCCTTGTTGGGTGTACTTTAGCAAATACTGAAGGTAGAAGCCCATCCCTTCCAAGTCCAAGATACAAACGTGACTGTTTACAATTAAAAGGATGTAATCCTCATCAAGTAGATCAATTTGACTAGTGAAACCTACTAGTGTGACCTAAACATACATAGTCAAGTTAGAAGGTATTACCTGAACATACAAGCCAACAAGAAGTGTTGTAGTAAGTCCAGCAACAGCTCCAATGCTGATCAATACAGTAATAAATTTCAGGCCCTTAGCAGCAAAAGCCTCAGCCAAAGGAGCATCTTCACCGAGTAATGTATATGGAACCATTCCAGTAATGACCAAACATACAGCAACGTATAACAACACACATGCTAGAAGGCTTCCTAGTATACCAATGGGCAAGTCCCTCTGGAAAATTTTGTTTGCGTGAGCAGGATTAGTTAGAATGCATTTCACACTATTATAATCTATATATTATGTAAAAATCGAATACTGACATTCACTAAGCAATAGAATATGACCATAAAAAGACAAGGCAATAAATCCAGCATGAATTACCTGCGGCCTTTTGGCTTCCTCAGCAGAATTAGCAACCGCATCAAATCCAACATATGCAAAAAAGACTACTGTGGCTCCAGTCACTACAGATTTGAAACCATTTGGCATAAATGGTGACCAGTTTGATACATCCACCTCAAACACACCAGCAAATACAACGACTATAACAATGATTATCTGCATTTGGAAACAGGTGCATCAGTCCAAAGTAGTAAACAACATTGCATATGCCTTCTACCTCACAAACATGAAAAACTAAATCTTGAGAAACATAACACCTAACATTAAAAAGCATTGCCTTGTGCAACCACAAAAACTCTTATCATAGAACAACTAGTATCATATGGAAAGGCTCACTTAGCCACCTACCTAACAATGATGTTACAGGAAAATATCACCTTTGCCAATTCAACAATGAGCAAGTTCAAGTTGCAGCGAACACAAAACCCAATATGAGCATGTAAGCAATCTTACCTTCAATGTGGTCATAAACGTGTTCACTGCTGATGACTCTTTGACACCACAACAGAGAATCCGCAGTTAAGATTATGAGAAGAATGGGGGCTAATATATTAATCGATATGACACCACCAAAAAACTCCTCCCCATGCCCTATCCAGCTTGGAATTTGGTCCTTCAAGAACGGGATTAGCTCCAAGAACTGGATAAAGTAGCTTGCTAAGCTACGAGCAATGCTTGCTGCACCGATATGGTAATCCACCATCAACTGAGTGAAAACCAAGAAGGCGGTGATCTCATTGAACGCTGCATACGTGTACAAGTATGCTCCCCCAACCACAGCAGGGAACCGAGATGCGAGTTCAGCATAGCACAAGGCATTGAGCACACACGCAGCTCCGGCAAGAACAAAACTGATTGTAACGCCTGTTATATAACCTCATGTTAGTTTCAGTTCCACAGAAACGAAACAAAGGAGGACACGCTACTTTGGCAAATAAAGCAACACTTCAGTTGGGGCACATGAAGTAGCAAAACAATCAAGTACTTCCGTAATGCTCCATAACAAGCGTGAACGATCCCCCATCATCACTGCGCCATCGCACTGGTTCTACTTAGCCATGAAACCAACAAGCTGTAGCTCCCACTGTAAACATTATACTGCAAATGTCGGCCTGGACCGAGCAGCAGCAGCAGCAGTGTTTGGTTTCGATTCTAATTCAAATTAGTATGGGGCTGTAGGGTTGACCTGGGCCGGCGTCGCGGGCGACGGTGCCAGTGACGACGAATATGCCTGCGCCGATGGACGCACCGATACCGAGCAGCACGAGATCAAGGACGCCGAGCTGCCGCACGAGGCCCTCGCCGGTGGCGGCAGCGGCGGCGGAGCCGTGGGCGCCGAGGGGCTTGCGGCGGAGCGCCGCGGCGCAGAGGCCAGAGAGGAAGGGGCGGCCGGCGGTGGAGGAGGGCCTGTGGTCGTGGGCTTCCGCCATGGCGTCTGAGGAGATGGGGAGCTGGTGGCGTCGCGACTTGGGTCGTCGCGTCGTTGGCGTCCGCGCCCAGATCGGGAGGAGTGACGTCGGCTCTTGCGTCATGCGGAGGAGGCGTGGCCCCGCCGCCGCCTGGCGTTGGTCGGGATCGGGCGGTTACAGGGATGGAAGACCCTGCTTGGGCTGGCATTCTCCGCTCTTGGGCTTCCTTCGAGCCTGTTTGGACCTGTAACAAGGGGCAAGGGCGCAATCGGCGTTTGGTAGTGTTTCTTCGTACATTTCTCTCAAGAAGAAGAGAGAATTTGATTCAAAAAAAAAAAGAAGAAGAGAATTGTTTCCTTGCCTTAAAAAAAGTTCCATTTCCTTCTTTGGCCCTCTTATTTTTGAAGCTAGCTATGTGGCCTAAAAGCTATCTTCAGTTTCTTATATGGTCCTTCCATTGTTTTGAGAATTAATCGTGTTATAAGTTAGGACAAAATGAAGATTTTACCTCTAGGTGAAAAATGAATCAGTGCAGAGTTTAGGTGATCTATGTTTAATTTTTAGCATATTTATATTATTCACAGTATTATATTCCTTATTTTATGCAATTATGCCCAAAAAAATACGAAATATTACTCAAAATTAAACACAGACAAACTTAACTTTGCACCGATCATTTTTCGTCTAGGGGTAAAATCATCATTTTGCCCTTAACTTAACATTGTTAAGTCCCAAACTAATGGGAGGGCCATGTAAAGAACTGAAGGATAGTTTTTGGGCCAAATAAGTAACTTCAAAAGTACAAAGGCCAAGAAAGGAAGCAAAAAAAACTGTTTTTTAGGCCAAGGAAATAATTCTCTCTTCTCTCAAAGCAAGACGTCCAGCTACCTCAATACGGGCAGGCAATACAGTGACTGCGTTGCACCGCACGTTGACAGGCAGGCGGCAGGCGGCAGGCGGCAGCCAACCAGCAACGTGCCAACGTGCCGCGCGCAAGGGGCAACAGCCAGATCTGGTTTCATTCAACGCGATTCGTTTGCCGTCCTTTTGACAAACGACCGTAAAATGGGCAGCTGGACTGGACTGCTGGAGAGTGATGGGACTGGAATTAAACGAGCTAGGAAAGCGACCGCTCGTTGCTAAAAACAATCGCGTGACAGTTGGACCCAGTGAACGAGGGCATCGTATTTCTACCATATTTATTTTTTACTATCTTCTCCTGTACTATTATAAATAAAAGTATGGTCGTTCATGGCAGCCGTAGGTTATTCCTGCTAGAACTATGATGGATTAAAAGAATCAGACCATTGTCATGAATTTGATATGGAGAGTGATGGGACTGGAATTGAACGAGCTAGGAAAGCGATCGCTCGTTGCTCCTGCTGGGAAGTGTGACAACAGGTGCTCGGCTGTGCTCGATCGTCAAAAGCTTTGAAACGGCTTGCCAGAAGCATAAATGTATCGACAGTGACACCACCACACTGGCAGAGTCGCAGGCGCAGGCGCTCACAATCCGTTGCGCCTTCACAGATCACAAAGGCGAACTACTACTCTACAAAACCACCCTCCACGCTACTCACACGCATCATCAATTTCATGTGGTCCAGCTCGAGGTGTTGTCTCGATTTCTCTCGAAAATACACCGCCTTGTTGCTATCCATCGGTTTGCTGCCGTCCCTATCCAATATTGCTATCTGTCTCATCAGGATAGCTTAATTTGTAGTATTTGTTTCATGGGCAAAAAAGACACATCCCCTTTTCACCATTAATGAACGTATCACTATGCGTACGTAATTTTACGACAAGAAGAACGCAGCTCGTTTACTGATCTCTCGAGTACGACTTCACTCTTCAGTCTTCACTGCCCTCGTTGGCTCGTTGCATGCATTGCTCGGTCGCCAAACGACGCCTTCAAATGATCGCGCGCCTGCGACGCTTTTAGCTTTGCCCTGGCTTGTGCGTACACGCTCCACTGACGACGGTCCGCATTGACGGATCTGTGTTTTGTGCACGCAAATTTCAGCTATTGTGGGTGGTCCAAAGTCCATGGTTTGGCTTTGCGTGCAATGAACACGATTGCAGATAATCCTGAAATTCCGTGGTGCCAACTGCCAAGCAGCATCTATTGTATCTTTGTGTTGCCTTTCCTCACAAATCACAGTGACGTGCTTGATAGTTGATACAATTGTTAAATCTCAATATAACATCCACGAGCTTCGATATACTAGTATATCATGAACTATGTACGTACCGTTCTAAAACCCACTGCTAATTTGCCAACGAACGGCAACCGTAGAATTTGCTTTGGATGGAGATGCAACCTGCCAGAGTGAGTGCCGGCTACTCATTATATTTCCTGTGTTTGGTTTAGTGGGGTGTGTGTGGACTGTGGAAGAACCCAACGTACCAAAGCTTGGCTTCGACGCCCAAACACCTGCCTGGTAATAGCCTTTGTCGACATCGAAGGCAAATCCATCTTTCAAGGATGACAATCATCTCATTATCTTCTTTGTTGGATGCTATCTAATAACATTGTCGTGACTCATGTGCCCTCCTCCCGCAACCCCACCCTCCACCTGGAGTTCTTTTCTGATTGGAAAACTCTTTGTCGGTCTTGCAATCTCGACATGTGCGGATATCGTATTCTTGAAGAAGACATTGCTTTTTAAAACCACCTTGTTGGTTGTTGCTACTATGGATAGGATGATTATTTGTTGTCAGTGTCGCAGATGTTTTATGGACGGCTTTTGATTGTGGTGGTATGTCATGTGGTCACTAGCATTGTATAGGTGGTTGTCAACTTGCATCGGATGATGTCGTCGTAGGGTGTTTTTTATTTATCAGTTTAACAAGTCGGTTTTTCTCTTAAAAACATTCTTGTTAGAAAATCACTGTTGCATGTTGTAAGACAGAGCTTCTAACAGGAGCACGGAACGGTGCTTTTGGCATCTATCTATATTTTGATTTTGATTCCGTGACAACACAAATAGACGGCGGGCAGTATTTGTTCCATGACTAATTTTCAGCAATCATGTAAATTGTAAAATAGGCTTTAGATAGAATTTAAAATGAGACTGTTATTCAGGAGCCCAGAGGCAATGCGATCCTTCTGCATTCGGCAATCCTGCTGCTGGACGCCTGGACACGACACGACCAGCCATCTCGCAGCACGGTCATTAAAACCTCCGATGGTTGGTAGTTGGGTCCTTCGTCCTTCCGTGGCCTTCCCTTGCCTAGACGAAGCGAGGTGACAGATGGCCTCCTCCATGGCCAACCGCAAGCCCCACCTGTCAGCTGTCACCCTCCAACCAGAGCCCACGGCCACAGCAACCCCAATCCGCTCTCCCCGAACAGCCTTCCTCCTCCCCTCGTCAGCTTCGTTTCGCCTCCGGGCCCCGGCATCCGCGTCGCGAGTCGCGATTCGCCAAACCAAACCCGCCGCCCTTATAAGGACAGCTTCCCCTTTTCCGTGCGCCCCTCTCTGCCCCGCGCGAGCGAGCTCCCCTTCCCACAAGCCTTTCCGCTGGTGCGCCTGCCTCTGCGAGGTGGGGTGAATCCGTGAATGGGTGACCTGGGAGGAGGGGACTGGCGGGAGGCGGTGGCCGACAAGGGGCAGGCGGAAGCCGCCGCCGGGCCCGACCACCTGATGGTCATGGTCCACGGGATCGTCGGGAGGTACGGCCACTTGCTTGGCTCTAGCTGATCTTCGTTCCATTTAGCTGCGTAATTGATCGAGCTCGGTTCTTAATTGCTCCGAGAAGAACTTGTTGCCGTACGCCTTTTCACGTGGGGAAAACATTTGGTTGTTTTGAGAACGTTGAGGCTTTTCTGGTTAGTTCTCTGATCGTCTGATCATTGTTTGGATTAATTCCACGCGGCGGCGCGGGGTGCAAAAGCAGTTTCCTATTTTTTTTTCTGAAGTGAATGAAGTAAATTAGTGGTTTGGAGACATAAAATGTGCTCTTAACGAATTGAGGTGCCTCATGCGGAGACGCTACGAGATCTGCACTGGGCAGGTTGGTAGTTCCAACTAGCCACGGAAAAGTAACCCCATGCTGATGGATTCAGAGTACCTAAATAGAGTAGTACCAAAGTGAAACGCGGTTTGGTAAAATTTCGGTGCATTCACATCATTTATTTACATTTCAACCATATAATAGTGATCCTTTTACGCCTTGTTTGATTCAGGTAGCAGTTTAGTTGTTTTGGCCAATGTATTGATCCTTACTCCTCAATATTTTGTTGTACAGCACAGCAGATTGGAAGTTTGGAGCTGAGCAGTTTGATAAGCAGCTCTCAGACAAAGTTATAGTTCATCGTAAGCTCTCTCATTGTGTTCATCACTTTGTATTGACAGTTTCTCATGAGCTGTGAGTTTTGTATGTACTGGCGTCCGTTGTATAGTACCTTTTCAAATGCCAATTTGACAACTTAGCATATCACAATCACCAATCCTTGAATCGTCGTGTTGAACTATTCATACATTTGATATCCAGTGACGTCCGACCGTTACACCTGAGGTGCTTGGTTGATGGCTTGATGCATTGAGTTTTTTTTTTTCTTGAAACATGCAGGAGAGTGTGTGTCATTGCATTAAGAGAGAGAAAGGCCAAAATGTCCTGTATGGTTTTTGAGGCATTGTGGCATTTTGTGGAGCTAGGGGTACGCCGTGGACACCTAGGTGCCTTCTAGGTGACGTCTAGGCAATACGGCGTAACTAGAACCTTGTGGCGTCCTATGGTGCAGTACTGACACCAACATCTTTAGATGAAAGTTAAAATCACACGAGGGGTCAAAATAAGGGAGCAACCAGAAAAGAAAAGAATGTTTCTTTCAAGCTGTTCTTGTTGGCAGATTATGCATGCTTGATACAAATGATTGGCTTGTTGCTACTTGGCACTCAACTTACAAAGAATTAAGATAGGAGCATTATCTTATATTCTATGTTTTGTTTGGCTCTTGGAATCTTGTTTCCTTGAAGAATATATACCTAGCCATGTGCAACTGATGGTGCAAAAAGTTGCATCATTAAAGATGATTGTGGCGATGTTTCTGTGTCATTATAATCTTTTCTTATGCTTACTTGAATGATTTTTTTAATGTGTAGGTAGCAACCGCAACATGCACAAGCTAACTTTAGATGGTGTTGATGTGACGGGTGAACGATTGGCACAAGAGGTTAGTTCTTTCATTATGGTTCTTGCTTGTTTTCTGACCATGTGTTATGCTCTACTTTATGTTCCTTCTACAAACTGATGACAAATTATCTCAATGAAGGTTATAGAAGAAATCAACAGAAGGCCGTATATCAAAAAGATATCTTTTGTTGCACACTCTGTTGGAGGATTGGTTGCTAGATACGCTATTGGAAGACTTTATAAACCACCTAAACGAACATCCGAAAATACTCTGCAAACTCTGGATGACAACAATAGAGGTACCATACATGGACTCGAGGCAGTGAACTTTATAACAGTTGCGTCACCACATCTTGGTTCCAGAGGAAATAAGCAGGTACCTAGTAACTTAAGTTTTGTGTTTCATCATCACATTCAGAAATGAAAAATAATCTATCATCCTTGCATGGAAACAAACAATCCGAAATACCTCGACTTTTTCAGAACAGGTCTGAGTCAAATAGCAATGATTCAAAGCACTTCTTTTTCAAAATGATGTAAAAAATAACTATCTTTCTTGAGTGATAATAATAGTATAATAGCTTGGTCTGCAGAAGCCTTTTGTACTCATAACATGTTTCTTCAAACACTTGATTGAAATTTTATCTATTTTAAATGTACAGGTTCCTTTCCTTTTTGGAGTTACTGCAATTGAAAATTTTGCTTGCCACATCATTCATTTGATATTTGGAAGAACTGGAAAACACCTCTTTCTTACTGACAATGATGATGGAAAGCCTCCATTGCTGCAACGGATGGTGGACAATTGGGGGGACCTGCAGTTCATGTATGCTTATCTTCGACAACTGCTTTCACATAGCTGGGTTGCGAATGCTTATAGCTTACCAATTTATTGTTGTAGGTCTGCTTTGCAAGCATTTAAACGACGTGTTGCATACTCCAATGTTGGTCATGATCGTATCCTTACTTCACTCTTGAAATTAGCATGTAGTAATAAGCATTGTTTAAAGTTTTTTTCCATAACTGAATGTTGATTAAGATATTGTTGGGTGGAGAACATCATCGATCAGAAAAGATTCTGAACTACCCAAGGTAAACCTTCTGTACTTTCCATTGTAACTTGTGTTGGTTTGGCCAACCGATAACATGATCTTTTCTTTCATTCTACCATTTCTTCTTCCAGTGGGTTGATTCAACCAACAAGATTTACCCGCATATTGTATATGAGGAACTATCCAAAGCAGAAGTTCCTAATCAATGTACTGACACAGACAACTGCACACTAGAAGGTTTGTACTAATGCTTGGGTTATACAATTGAACATGTGTTTGTTTCACTATTTGTGATTTATATCTTTTTAAACAAAATATGAAATGGTATTATAATATGAAAATTCTAGGCAATTTTTTTTTCAGGTTGGCAATGTTGCAAAAGCCAACATAATATGGGAGTACTGAGACACACTAGCGTATTTACTTCCTAGTGTCTTCCGGTCTTCCTACCTCTCTGTGAATTAGTGATGCCTCACTGTTCTATGTATTCTCACAGTGCCTAAGTGGAAGGGCTACCAGGAAGTTTTGGATCTGCTTCCTGCTCACTTGTTAAAATACGATTGACAGTTTTTGTTGTATGTTGATATTGTCATGTTGGGAGTGAGTTCCTTAGTTGCTGAAGGCTTAAAGAGGATAAAGCTTCCTAGTTAATCCTGAAAGAAAAATGAATACCTGATTCAAGTATTCCTAGGCTCAGGATTTGGAAATGAGAAATACATAGTTCATCCTAGGTTTTTTTTTTCAAAAAGGTAAACCTCAAAGTTTTTCTTTTTAAAATACCTTTTTTCATGCAGCTTAAAAAAACTCTAGACATAGGAGCATGGCCTCTATCTATCATACTGTAGCTGTTTAATGACCCATGCCGTGCTGATTGTCAAGTGGGGTCTCTGACTTTATAGCATTTTGAGAACCCTGTTCGCTTCGCATATAAGCCAGGTTGAAAAGTACTGTTCGCTGATTTGCTGTGAGAGAAAAACACTATACTATGGCTGATAGGCCAAGCTGAGATTGATATGCTACAGAATGAAACCACATCCAAGGACAGTTTCCAGACTCATCAAGATTGATATTGAGTTATTGACATGCCCAGTCTGTTTATTAACGTGGGCATGCTGCTCTATTGTAGAATGTTGGACTTCCATCATTTTATGCCATCCATCCATCACGATTCACGAGTAACCAGGACTCCAGGAGCTTCACATTTGTTTTCTAGGGAAAGCTTTCCATGTCTCCATATTTACAGTGCATTAGGAGATGTTTTTTGGAGGGAAGGAAAATATATGTTTTGGATTTTGTCGTATGTTAACCTGTGTCATGACTCATGATCCAACATTATTTAGTTCCTGTCATGCTTTGTTCCTTACTGCAGAACTGCACATGATGGGCTGACTTCTATTGCTATTTTCAGAACGCCTTTTACAAGGACTTAAGCGTGTGTCATGGGAAAAGGTGGATGTTAGCTTCCACAACAGTAAAGTAAGATCTGCAGCACATAGTGTGATTCAGGTATTGCCTTTGCCTCCCGGTGGCGTTCTCTCATATTCAGAAATAAATATTTGCTTCGGTACCAAGTGCCATAGTTCGTTCTTTCCCTGTAACAATTTAGTGGCCAGCACTTAAATGTTTGTGAAAGATATACTGAGGCGGAAACCTGTCTTGGAATGAAATTTTAACAGGTAAAAGATCCTGTGATGCATAGCGAAGGTGCCGATGTCATACAGCATATGATCGACCAATTCATTCTATAGTAAAAGCCCTGGTCTTTGGAAACAGACATGAACCAGGATACGTCATTTGCTAACTGCTGAGTCACCGAGCCTGGTGAGCACGTTTATGGAAATCCCAGGTGTAAGATTTAGTCTCTGATGGGTCAGGTATATAGATATAGAGGGTGGAAACACGTGCGCATGCTTTAATAATCTGTGAACATATATATGTTGTATGGTGTATGTAATTTTAGCACTATTCTTGTCGTTGTAAATGTTCATTTATTTATAGTGTTGGTCTTCTCCTACACCCTAATTTTGTGAGCATGTTATTGTTAATGAAGAATGACCTCACACAACAGTTGCATTAAGTCTAGTTTATTAAGTCTAGTTTACAAAAGTATAGTGTATGGGCCCAAAGGGGCCGTAAGGCCTACATGGGCTAGAAAGAGAGAAACAGAAGAGAGAAGACTTATATATATCTGCATATATTAACTCCCCCCTCAAACCAAAAGTGGCTAAGAATATGAGTTGACACGTTTAGTTTGAGTATGTGAAAATGGTGTTGATCTCGAGTCTAGGGCTCTAGGCCTGGGTGAAGAAATCTGCAAGTTGAAGTTTGAAAGGCCATGTTAAAAATCAAGCCTTTCTTTCTGGGTCCTAGTCTTAGATCTATTTTTAATTCCTTTTATGACCTTTCCATCAGTTGACCCTCTAACGGTGTTAGGTGGAGGACGAAAAAACCATTTTGCCTCTGAGTATGAAATTAACCTTAAGCACAATACAAACTTCAGTTTTTCATCGTATATTTCACTGATATTTGTAGTTTGTATGTGAACTCTATACTGTGCTAAAGGTTAATTTTGCATCCAGAGGAAAATGGTCTTTTCGTCCTCTACTTAACACTGTTAGAGGAACAAACTGACAAAAAAGACAAAAAAAAAATCATAGATTCAGGGCAAATAGGTAAGTTCAAATTTGTCAGCGCCAAGAAGGGAAGACTTCTTTTAAGAGGGCCAAATAGAGAATTTTCTCTAGTTTGACCCTGTTCGCTTGGAGTAATTTGAAGAAATCTGGATGAATCTAGAGGAATTTGTGAGAGCGTGAACGGTGTTTTTCAGCCGTAAACAGTGAATTCCGGAGGAATTTTGCATGAGCCGAACGCCCCCAAATGGCAATGGGATTATATAAAGGAGACATCAACACCAATATGCTTAGTAAGCTCATGCTTCACTGGATTGTTGGTAATTTGAATGGCACTGGTGCTGTCATGACGGAGAATTGTAGGATCAAAATCAGCCAGTAGCCACTAGCCAGCAAAGCCAAATAACTTCGCGCAAGAAGATAGCTTTTGGAAGAGTAAAAATTTATATTTCTCGCAAAAGAAAGCGCGTGACTTCTAACTTGCAATGCGTGTGGCCACGGTATTCTCCTGGGATTTTTTTTTCAAATTTTATTTCCATGAAATATATTTCTACGGGTGGTCCGAAATTGGCTCAGCTCTAGAAATTATCGATTTCTAGAAACACTCTAGAGCTAGCTGGACAGCCACCTCTAGAAATCACCGATTTTTAGACAGTGAACTAGTGTCGGATATTATAGGAAGGGGTACCCTAAGCAAGAACCGAAAATATTGCTTAAGCCTTGCAAAAATCAAAGCCAAAGGACAACCACGAGGTCTCAGCAGATTCTCCGATTCGTCCGAGGCTTGCGCCTAAGGATGAAAACGGAACGGAAATATCCCGAACCGAACCGCATCGTTTTCTATATTTAATCCGATCGAATCCGTATTTTCTTGTCCGACTTTACCGTTTTCGCTTTCGCATTTGAGATATTTCGTATTTCAAATGTAAAAGTAGAAAACGATTTACACATTTTTCGACCGTTTTCTACTTTTCTACTTTTAATTTGAAATATTCCGAATTCAAATTTTGGTTTAAACCGAATTTGGCTAACTGCATGCAGTCATCTACAACCCAATTCATAGTCGCTTCACCACGCAATTGCGTTTTTTTCTCTCGGTGGCTAGCTGCCCCTCTCTTATAGACGGCGCCAAACCTCATCTCTCTTATTATGTATTTGGTCGTGCACTTGTTTAATGCTATGCACTTGAACTTGATCATGCACTTGTTAGTTGTGAACTTGTTATGTATTTGGTCGTGCACTTGTTTAATGCTATGCACTGTGGGTCGGTATTTCGTTTTGAATTTTCGCATACCGACCGTGTTCGACATAATTCCGCTCGAATTGATTCGTTTCCGAAATTCTAGATATTTCGTAAGTTCGTGTTCGTTTTCGTGTCCGGCTTGTCCGCTTTCGCTTTCGTATTTTAAATGTAAAAGTAGAAAACGGTTGAGGAGTTTTTCGACCGAGTTCGACCGTTTTCATCCTTACTTGCGCCGAGGCCTCAGACGAAAGGCCAAAACTCTCCGCCCCGCCGAGGCCCTCTCGCCGAGGCCCCGTCCCGCAAGGCCTCGTACGGGATACCAATTCTCCGATTCGCCCGAGGCTGGGCTCGGCAACAACCTCGTCACCTCCGTCCCGACCGACTCCTCTGACAAAACGTCACGTCCAGTTAATGCGCCCAACTACTCCCGCAATGTCAGCCGCACATTGGCGCGAAGACAGCAGAGTGACCGACGGACGATGAGGGGACGGGCGTAGCGTGGGTTACCTTGCATCGTGCTCATCACTATGCCCCTAACGACACCCGATCGCCTGTGCTACCCAACTCCTGCGCCAAGGACAAAGCGGCGTGGAGGGTCAAGTCCGGTCCTCAGTAGTCTCGGAATCGGCATGAAAGACCAACTGCTCATCCTCCGCCTCGTTCGAGACCCCACGGCAGGGCCTCGGACGTACTATTCCTTCTCCGCCTCGGCCGAGGCCGGGCTCATCCCGCATCCTCGTCGCCTCCGCCTCAACCGTCCCTCTGGCAAGCCGTCCCATCCGTTTAAGTACGCCTGGTCACACCTACTACGTCAGCCACGACTGGCAGGGTACAGCAACAGGGGCGATGGGACAACGGTCAAATCTCCTTTTTACCATCCCCTACTGACGGTGCAGGGGTTACTGTGCCCTGTGGACACACGCTCCGCACTTTTCCACCTAAACCGGGTACGACGCTGACCACCAAGACCCCCGCGTCATACACGGGTGACCTCCGAGGCCTCGGCAAAGCAGGCCTCGGCACGATCAGCTACAACACCCGCCAGGCCTCGGCACTCCGCCAAGTCAAGAATCCACAAGGCACGGTATGTCTCCTACAGTGGAGGCCATACTGACTAGACGTCAACAAGGACTCCCACGACCTCAACAACCTTGGGCCTGGCCAGCACGACGCGCCAGTCAAGTACTGATTGTCATTCCCAACACCATGCTGCTATAGGACTGGACTACAGTAGGCTCCACGTGTAGCTCACTCATGTACTCCTGGCTCCCTCCTTGTGGCTATAAAAGAAAGCAGCCAGGGATAGCTCTAGGAGAGGCGAGAAAACATACAAAAGAACCACGCTCTCACACACGCGCAAGCGACACTCTGTAACACACGCTCCCCCCGCTGCCTGAGAACAACACCTCAAGCAGCCCGCACTGCACCACGCCGAGACCTGGGACCAGCTCCCTCTCTCGCCCAGCTTATAACCCCCTACTACAAGCACCTCGGTGCAAGGAATACAAGATCGATCTCTCAGACTGGACGTAGGGCACCGATTGCCTGAACCAGTATAAACCTTGTGTCTTTTTGCATCACCATCCGGGATTAGGGGCACGCAGTTCAAATTCACTGGTTGGTTGAGGACCCCCCGGTCCGAAACACCGACAGTTGGCGCGCCAGGTAGGGGTCGCTGCGTGTTAACTTAATCGTCCCAACAAGTTCCGGATGGCAGATCCCATACGCCCACTACGTCTCAGCACGGTGATCTAGTTCGGGAGCCTAGAGTTCATATCTCTAGGACATGAGTACGACCTAGTACTCCTCCCACCCAGAGCCCCTTTGGCCAACGACGGCGTCGCGCAACAGCAGCCCGGGCGCAGGCGGCGCTTGGGCCGCCGCTCTCGTTGCGCTTGCCAGGCACGACGCGAGCAGGACCACCCCGACACCGCACGACCTCAGGGCGACGCGCCACGCTCCACCGGTATCCCATGCCCGACTGTTGGTACGAGGTCCCTGGTTGGGGACCTGTCTGGCCTAAGCTTGGGCAGGGGAAAGACACCGGTGACGTGCAGCGACGCCCCGTCGTCAAGTTCTGCACCGTCACCGCCTGAGGAGCCAACTCCAGCGGAGCAGGGCCCGGCGATGGCACCGTCTCCATACCCCTTCGGGTTGAGAAATGCCGCCGCCGCCTACGCTTCCGCTCACACGGAGCCCTCAGGGCACCACCAACGTTTTGCCCTTGACTTTTCGGCCACAACCTCGGCTCACACCCACACCGACTCCTCAGAGGAGGATGAGGCGTGGGCTGGAGCAGACTTCTCCGGGCTTCACGACCTTGAGGCTATGCGCCGCTTTTTGGCCGCAAGCGACTACTGCTTCGGCTACTCCGACTCCGATGACGAAGGCACTTACGATCCCACTCGAGAGTGCTTCCACATCGGGCTCGGAATGTCAGGGGCAAGTAATGAGAATGAAGGGGCAGGCAACCGCTCCCCGCTCCGCCAAGGGGCGGGCGACGCCACACCCCCGCTCGTCGAGCTTCGGGCGGCACAGAACGTGAACGCCGCCCCCGAGGAACTCCGACGCCTTGACCTAGAGCAGCTCCGTGAGCTCTAGGCAAAGGTCGACCAAGACCGACTCCTGCTGCAGTAGCTCCAAGACACTCTCGAGCAGGAGTAGCGAGGTCGCGGTGATGGCGGAAGGGCCCAGCAGAGGGCCCACGACGTGCACCGCCGCATCAACAACGACGAAGGGAGTGAGCAACCCCAATCTTCAATCGCGCTAGCCAGAACATCACGGCAGCAGCGATGCTAGTCCGAGCGATGCCTGAGCCCTCTACCACGGAGGGGCGACGGGTCCGCGGCGAGCTTCGAGACCTCGAGACCGCCGT